GTTTAACGGACTAAATACCAATAGAATGTTGACAAACAAATATTCTGTGTCACATCAGACACGGTGTCACCAGGTTTATTACAATACTAAATGATGAGTGCTGGATTTAGCCTTGGTTCACGCTGATGCGGTGCGGAATTCGCAGTGTTTTCTGTGCGAATTCTGCACTGCATCAGAATCGCACCCCGTTCATGCGAACTGTTGCGGGTGTGTATCTTAAGTTAACACCCCTAAAAGCGGTCCACAAAATGCGGTGCAATGTGAAGAATTGGATCACATAGGTGCGAATACCCATGCAATCCAATTCTAGTGCGGACCCCAAAAAAAGGATCCTGCACCTTCTTAGTACGGCTGCGCTCCAATCACTCCACACACAAATCTCATGTGATTTGCACAGGAATGCGGTGTGGTTCCTGTGCGAATCACATGCGATATATCGCACCGCATATATGTGAACCCAGGCTTAAAGACCTTTTTCCCTTAAACACTCTCAGGCAGTTACTAAAGTTAAATATTATTGCATTATGCATTTTACTCAATAGTGAATTGTTTTACAATGTTTACATACCAGTCAGTTATTAGGTATGCTTGTCTAGCCATCAATAGTGGTACAGAGAAAAAAAAAATCTAAAGAATTTTATGGAAAAAAGGGAGCAGTGTAGAGGGAAACCACAGTATACTAGGTGAGCTTCTGTAACCTGCTTAGCAAAACAATGCATGCAGCTCATTCTAGATTTCTATTTCAGCAAAGTAAAAATCAAAATAGAAAATCCACTAAAGATTTTCTGCCCTAGCAGGAACCTTGCTTACTAGCTTTTAATTACTTGCATTGCATACTTACTGGCAGATAAAATCAGGAGTTGAAAAAAAAAAAAACTGTATGAAGTTTTCACACAACACCACCTTTAAAATAAACATATATACTCAAATGTCAAGATAAAACTATGATGAAGTTCTCCGCTGGAATGGGTAAACAAAGATAATGGCAGGGTTGAAATATTTACCTTTTCTGGAAAACAAATTTGTTTGAGGCAACCTTTAGTGCTGCCTAGGCACAGTCATGTGATCTCTGTTGAAAACAAGGTAAACTGGATATAGGACTACCTATCAGGTCTGCAGATGCCTTTTGCACACCTGACAGAAAAGGAAGTGTAACAGGCTGATAAGTAACTGATGGGAGGAACACATTACTGATGAAATGAAACAGTATTTTTTGTTGAAAACTTTCAAGTGGAACTTCATTCTCTCTAACAACATTGACTATTTTTAATCCCTATGCTATTAGAATTAGTAAATAGGTTAGAATATCATATTTACTTGTTTTAAACTTTTTTTTCCCCCACATTTCTTTAGTTATTTCCTGGTTTCCAGACCTATACATATGAGGTCAAATATCCTAGGGAGTCTTCCAGAGAGGAGGAAGGGCTTTCTCAGCTAAGCACACCTTCCTTGCCTGCATGCCTGAGCTAAGGGCAGATGGATTAAAGAAAGCAAATGCAACATGAATCATCTGTCCTTACTCAAGATGGCTACAGCCAGCAATGCTAGGGGGGTGTTTTTCAAAGTGATGTCTCAGCAAAATTAAGCATGAAGACATGGATGGATGGGTGAGTTTGCTATTCATAATAAAAATGAGTTAAGTAGAATTTTGGTTTGTGGTGCTCAGATGCAGTGCAGTTCCACTTTAAGGATGAATCACTTCAAAGTGTCGACAGCTACAGACAATGAGGTTTGTTTTATTGGGCATTTATCAACTGTTGAGAATACATAAATATCATAAGTTCCATAGACTTGCCACAGTTGTACTTCAGATTTCCATTTTCTACAAATTTTGTCAAGATCCTTCTGTAATATGTCATCATAATGCTGATTCTTAATAATTCTATATATTTTTTGTCATCAGAAAATATTTCTGTGTCCTCCCACAGATCATTAATACATTAGACAAAGTGAAGGTACATTTGAGCCCTTCTCTTAGTATCTCTTTTTCATCCAAGCAAAACTGAACATAGTTTTATGCTGGCACCCACACTAGGTACGAGTCATAAGTAAAATGCATTTGAGGGCATGTAGTGCTCATCTACGGTTGAATGCACACTTAGATACTCAGCAGCATCTAGGTGCATTCATTGGAGCCAGGAAAGGAATAGAATTGGCATCTCCAAAAGGAAGACAGCAATTGTCAACATCTCCAAGTAGTTTTTTGTTAGCGAACCTGTAGAGAGCTATGGCATACGTTACAGCCCATTTTAAGCTTATTTGAATGGAAGATCCACTTGACTAAACAGCTCCTTATCACCTAAAAACAAATGGCATACAAAAAAAAAAAAAAAATCTTACCTTAACCGGGCTTCTAATGCTACCAGGAAGCATGGGTGGCGGCACCATACCTCACTGCTGCCATACCAAGAGAGCTGGGTGCACAAAGTTCCATGAAAATAACCTCCAGCCTATTGCAAGAGCACACTCTCACAGGCTATTGATTTCCCAGGTCTTCTGTCAGGCAGCAGTGACATCACACCCATGCCTCCTGAAAAAGTCAGAAGCCAGGCCAAGGTGTTTTTGTTTTTTGTTTGTTTCTTCTTTCAATGCCTTTTTAAAACCATTTGTATTTGGGTGGTGTCATAATGAGTAAAAAAATGGATTTCTGCAAAACAGAAATAGGTTGTTTTAGAAGTATGTTGATTTAATTTACACACTTTATATATTATGATGAATATGAAATAGATATACGTTGCTTCGGAAACACTGGATGATCATAAAGAACTATAGGCAAAATGTTTTTTCCATTTTGGATAGCATAAAAAGGAGGAGTATAACCCGTCACATTTTTTTTTCGCCATCTGTGTCCCATTGCAGAGATTTCCCTTCACTTCCTGTCACATAGCAAAACAGGATCCAAGAGGAAATCTCTGCAAATTAAGAGGAATTTCTTGGGGACCCCCAGGTCACTAGAACTAGTGTTTCCATTGGGAGATTTTCCCTCTATTACTTTTCTAGGGACAACCTAAAATTTGGGATTTTCTTTTACTTTCAATGATAATGGTAAACAGGACAAAAATAGACAAATCTACTTAAACGGGGACAAAGACAGCAATATAAAATTAATAAACAAACATTCTAATTTATCTCTACTTTATCCAAAAAAAACTAAGAAAAAAAAAAGTTTTACCTTTAATTATACTTTAAAACTATTTATAAAGAACTGAACTGATAAAAGCAGTGTATACAGTGGATCTTTGAACAAAAGAGCCAAAATATATAAAAATTACACAAACAGAAAAGAACACCTGTTCAGAGAGAGAATTTGCTTGGATTATATGGAGCAAGGACTTAGAGAGATATATATTTTTTTAAATAATTACATACATACACACAAGCTTAAACATATTTGTTTTCAATAACATTATCAATAAAATCATCCAAATAAAATATTTTTAGTACTGGTCTGATTTCAGCTAAGTGGTTTTGATTGGTTGCTCAAGTTATTGTGGTTACAAAAAGGGAATTCTCTAGAACAAGGCCATATGTCACCTGAAAGTGAAAATTTCTGGGTTAGATGGATGGTTGCACAAATACACCTTTAGGGTTCTAAAGCAGAAATCTACCAGGTGGATAGATTTGTTCCTGTTGCTGGCATCACTACAACACCATGAGATCATCTTACATCTGTTAAAATGAATTGAGAATTTTTGGACTGTGGCATGTGGAGAAACCATAACTTTCTGCTTGAAATACAACATGTAGTAACACATGGTTCTCTCAAATGGATCTATAGCAGATTATATATATATATATATATATATATATATATATATATATATATATATATATATATATATATATATAGTGATTACATCTGAGAGAAAAAAATCTGTGGAGCCCCAAGCAACCAGTCTGGCAATTTGTTTCTTTCAAAATGTGCATTATATGGGCATCAGCTCCAATTTGTTAAATACTTTATAGTGAATTTTTCAATTTTACGTAAGTACAACGAGGAACAATCACTTGCACATTCACACCTTGCAGCTCTTTTATTTCTATAGAATTTTACGTTTACTCGGTTAGATTATACAACATAATTTTCAACCTGAACAAGGTTGGCACAGTTTCTAGAAAACAATATACACATCAAATTATATGAAGATGATCAGTCTTATAAGGACATGGACCTTGGGAAGTATAAAAAAGGTGACATCCTTGAAGCACAGCACTTAATACAATACACTCAAATATATTTTTGTACAATGAAAACAAGGCGTTCTGGCTGGAACTACTAGAAGTCAGTGACAAATCACTTGTGGAACAAGAAGTACACAAGATTGGCTTCCAAGAGGAGCTACATCCTGCTGCACAGAGATTCAGCAATGCATGCCAACATCCCAGCATTATTTCACTTAATAAAACAACTCAAGTGGAAAAAAAGACTGAACATGTTCAGCTGGTATTGAGAAGATGTATACTGTACATAACATTCTTTCATGTAATGTCTATTGCAATTATTTCTTTTACAAACATTTTTCCTGTTACACAATTTCATCACCAAGGAGCCACAGGGTCTGTGTACACTCACCCTTAGAAATTAACAGTTGTAATAGACTGGTACTTGCATATACAAATGCATGATGTCTGTACACATGAGCAGATAAAATGACAGGATCATTCCTGCCCATTCAAAGAACTTGGTTGCATTGTAGGACAGTAATCAAGTGGGTTCTGTGAACAGAGAAGAGGGCAGGAAGCTGCACATGTACTTCATACTCACGGCTGCTGCTAACCCCTGCCCAGCACCAGAAGTCTGCTGCTCTGGTTAGTATATGGCGGCATGAAGGAAGGATTTTTACATGAAGCAGCCTAGCCTGCAGGACATGAGATGCATAATATTACATGTAACTAATGTGTTTTGTGCTGTATCCCCCCAAAAATAAACTTCAGCTTTACCATAAAATTACCTTAAAATGAGTAAGCGATGACTCTGTAAGTGTAAAAATGTCTAGGTTGCTTATTATTGCCTATATAACCATGAAGATTAAAAAAAAAAAAAAAAAAAGATTTTATGACATGGGGAAATAAACCATTTCAATGGTAAGGGAGTAAAGCTGACCAGTGTATTCTGACAGTGGGGAGGCAGGGAAGTCTCTCCACTGTCAGAATACAAAGACATGAGGGGATGATTACTGCATCCACACGGAATGTATGCATGGGGGAACTGGGTCCGTTTTTTTTTTTTTGTTCCGCTGTCTGGCTGGACAAAAAGAAAACTGAACCTTGTATGGGCAGCTTAGGGATAGTCAAACAGCTGATGGCATGCCAAGGCCACTTGACTGAATACCAATCTCATTGTTACTGCAAATACAAAACCCAGGAAGCATTACAGTGACCAGCTTTGAGAAGGGCAGCAAAGTTATGTATAGGAAGTGGACAGTTTTTCATATCAAAGAGAAGCCCTGGGAAAATGAAGGCTGCTTCTGCCTGGAGCCTGACAAGTGTCTGCATGTTGATCCACTAATGGGAGCTCTAAGGCAACTATGAGATGTCGCGGGTGTTTGTCCTGAGTGTGCAGGGGTGCATTGTGGGGTGTCCCCTCCACACACAGTGTAACATACACCAGACTCCTCCATTCCCTGTGCTGTGCAGTATGTTATATACTCCACTATTCTCCACTTTGAACAGCAAGCTCTATTATATGCTCTATGACTGTATTGTCATATCAATAAACGTTCTTTGTTCATACCACTGGGGCTTCCAAATTCCACCATGTTCAATACATGGACACACAGTTAGCTATAACATAGTCTAGATCAGTGATGGCGAACCTTTTTGAGCCGAGTGCCCAAACTGCAACCCAAAACCAACTTATTTCTTTCAAAGTGCCAACACTGCAATGAAACCTGAATATCGAGCTTTTGGTTTAGAAAAAACAACTCGTACAGTAGTGCAAACTAATTAACAGTACAGGGATGACCAGAGACTGCGGACACAGTACAGGGATGACCAGAGACTGTGGACACAGTACAGGGGATGACCAGAGACTGCGGACACAGTACAGGGATGACCAGAGACTGCGGACACAGTACAGGGATGACCAGAGACTGCGGACACAGTACAGGGATGACCAGAGACTGCGGACACAGTACAGGGATGACCAGAGACTGCGGACACAGTACAGGGATGACCAGAGACTGCGGACACAGTACAGGGATGACCAGAGACTGCGGACACAGTACAGGGATGACCAGAGACTGCGGACACAGTACAGGGATGACCAGAGACTGCGGACACAGTACAGGGATGACCAGAGACTGCGGACACAGGGATGACCAGAGACTGCGGACACAGTACAGGGATGACCAGAGACTGCAGACACAGTACAGGGATGACCAGAGACTGCGGACACAGTACAGGGATGACCAGAGACTGCGGACACAGTACAGGGATGACCAGAGACTGCGGACACAGCACAGGGATGACCAGAGACTGCGGACACAGCACAGGGATGACCAGAGACTGCGGACACAGCACAGGGATGACCAGAGACTGCGGACACAGCACAGGGATGACCAGAGACTGCGGACACAGCACAGGGATGACCAGAGACTGGGGACACAGCACAGGGATGACCAGAGACTGGGGACACAGCACAGGGATGACCAGAGACTGGGGACACAGCACAGGGATGACCAGAGACTGGGGACACAGCACAGGGATGACCAGAGACTGGGGACACAGCACAGGGATGACCAGAGACTGGGGACACAGCACAGGGATGACCAGAGACTGGGACACAGCACAGGGATGACCAGAGACTGGGGACACAGCACAGGGATGACCAGAGACTGGGACACAGCACAGGGATGACCAGAGACTGGGGACACAGCACAGGGATGACCAGAGACTGGGGACACAGCACAGGGATGACCAGAGACTGGGGACACAGCACAGGGATGACCAGAGACTGGGGACACAGCACAGGGATGACCAGAGACTGGGGACACAGCACAGGGATGACCAGAGACTGGGGACACAGCACAGGGATGACCAGAGACTGGGGACACAGCACAGGGATGACCAGAGACTGGGGACACAGCACAGGGATGACCAGAGACTGGGGACACAGCACAGGGATGACCAGAGACTGGGGACACAGCACAGGGATGACCAGAGACTGGGGACACAGCACAGGGATGACCAGAGACTGGGGACATAGCACAGGGATGACCAGAGACTGGGGACACAGCACAGGATGACCAGAGACTGGGGAACAGCACAGGGATGACCAGAGACTGCGGACACAGTGCAGGAGATGACCAGAGACTGCGGACACAGCACAGGGATGACTGCTGACCTTTGGGGAGGGAGGGGGAGCGGGTACCTGAATTTGACAGGTGCCCGCTCTTACTTCCGCAGAGTTTTTTTTTTTTATCTTACCTGTTCCTTGATCCAGCCGCGCGCTGTCTTCCCGGCTTCTGTAGTGTGGGCGCTCGTCGGACAGCCGGATGCCCAGTGCGCATGCGCGAGAAGCGCTGCGCTTTGTGATTGGTCCAGCGGCTTCTGGGATCTGTCATGTGTCCCAGGTACCGCCTTACCATTCACAAGGAGCACTGCTTCTTGTGCATGCGCACTTGGGACCCGGCTGTCACGCACACTACAGCCGGAAGACAGCGCGCCGCTGGATTCTCCTGGCGTGCCCACAGATAAGGCTCGGCGTGCCGGCTGTGGCACGCGTGCCACGGGTTCGCCACCACTGGTCTAGATCGAATGGTGCAAAAAGAACAGTGTCCAATTCTTCATTTGTGGGGAAAAAAAACAAACAAAAAAAAAACACTTTGCTCTAACATGTTACAGCAAAATACTTACAGACTTGTTGTCATCAAAAGCATGGTCTTCAATCTCCTCCTCAAGCCTATCAGCAGCTTTTCTCACATCTTCAAGGATCTCATCAAGCATAGAAAGACTTTTATTTTGATGTTGCATGTTCTTAAGTGCTTCCACCTGATGTTTTTCAGCAGCAAGAAGTTCCACATATTCTTTCTCTTCCTTGAAAAGTAATGTCAGCAATCAGACACATAGCACAAATAAATACGGACAGCAAGAAATGTCCACTGAAGTTGAAGACATTTTATGAGAAAGATGCAACTACAAGTGTATATATAACAGATGTAAAACTTTGGCAGAACTTGAGATATTTAATGCACAACCTCGGACAACATATTGACTCAATCCGTGGACTGCTATCCATGTGACACTGCAACTGTCTTAAAACAGAAAGTGAATTCAAATTACCGTCAAAGTAGGGAAACTAAAAAAGACTTAAAATACGTTTATCTGTTTTTAGACTGTTTATATATTTTTAATTATAATTTACACATACATTCTTTGTTATACAGTCAAATAAATATTGGGACATCGACACAATTCTAACATTTTTGGCTCTATACACCACCACAATGGATTTGAAATGAAACGAACAAGATGTGCTTTAACTGCAGACTGTCAGCTTTAATGTGAGGGTATTTACATCCAAATAAGGTGAACGGTGTAGGAATTACAACAGTTTGCAAAAGTGCCTCCCACTTGTTAAAGGGCCAAAAGTAATGGAACAATTGGCTTCTCAGCTGTTCCATGGCCAGGTGTGTGTTATTCCCTCATTATCACAATTATCACAATTACAATGAGCAGATAAAAGGTCCAGAGTTCATTTCAAGTGTGCCATTTGCATTTGGAATCTGTTGCTGTCAACTCTCAAGATGAGATCCAAAGAGCTGTCACTAATCGGTGAAGCAAGCCATCATTAGGCTGAAAAAACAAAACAAACCCATCAGAGAGATAGCAAAAACATTAGGCGTGGCCAAAACAACTGTTTGGAACATTCTTAAAAAGAAGGAACGCACCAGTGAGCTCAGCAACACAAAAAGACCCGGAAGACCACGGAAAACAACTGTGGTGGATGACCGAAGAATTCTTTCCCTGGTGAAGAAAACACCCTTCACAACAGTTGGCCAGATCAAGAACACTCTCCAGGAGGTAGGTGTATGTGTGTCAAAAGTCAACAATCAAGAGAAACTTCACCATAGTGAATACAGAGGGTTCACCACAAGATGTAAACCATTGGTGAGCCTCAAAAACAGGAAGGCCAGATTAGAGTTTGCCAAATGACATCTAAAAAAGCCTTCACAGTTCTGGAACAACATCCTATGGACAGATGAGACCAAAATCAACTTGTACCAGAGTGATGGGAAGAGAAGAGTATGGAGAAGGAAAGGAATTGCTCATGATCCTAAGCATACCACCTCATCAGTGAAGCATGGTGGTGGTAGTGTCATGGCGTGGGCATGTATGGCTGCCAATGGAACTGGTTCTCTTGTATTTATTGATGATGTGACTGCTGACAAAAGCAGCAGGATGAATTCTGAAGTGTTTCGGGCAATATTATATCTGCTCATATTCAGCCAAATGCTTCAGAACTCATTGGACGCCGCTTCACAGTGCAGATGGACAATGACCCAAAGCATACTGCAAAAGCAACCAAAAGAGTTTAAAGGGAATGAAGTGGAATGTTATGCAATGGCCAAGTCAATCACCTGACCTGAATCCGATTGAGCATGCATTTCACTTGCTGAAGACAAAACTGAAGGGAAAATGCCCCAAGAATAAGCAGGAACTGAAGACAGTTGCAGTAGAGGCCTGGCAGAGCATCACCAGGGATGAAACCCAGCGTCTGGTGATGTCTATGCATTCCAGACTTCAGGCTGTAATTGACTGCAAAGGATCTGCAACCAAGTATTAAAAAGTGAAAGTTTGATTTATGATTATTATTCTGTCCCATTACTTTTGGGACCTTAACAAGTGGGAGGCACATATGCAAACTGTTGTAATTCCTACACCGTTCACCTGATTTGGATGTAAATACTCTCAAATTAAAGTTGACAGTCTGCAGTTAAAGCACATCTTGTTCATTTCATTTCAAATCCATTGGGGTGGTGTATAGAGCCAAAAATGTTAGAATTGTGTCGATGTCCCAATATTTATGGACCTGACTGTATAATGGATTTCCAAAGCACTACAGGTTATCTAGGGACAACATAGCAAACAAAGATTATTTTGCAGTCCTCTTTCAGATTAAAGTGTAACTTCAGCATTTTCACCCCTCTCCGCCACCACCAACCACCTGCTCATGATTCCTGAAGCCCCCAAGAGTTTAGTTAATTTAAAAAACTATGCTAGCTAGTTCAGTGATGTCACAGAAGCTTATTCGTCTTCTGGCAGCATTGGGGTGGGAGGGCAATCATTCATCCAGGATTTAGTGGTACTTATATTTCATGTGAGTGCCATTTAGTCCTGGAATAATATAAGCCCAACCAGAGTGATATCACACCCCTGGGGAAAAAGGAAGGAGGGGGCGTAACGGAAAGATGGGGGGGGTCAATAGGAAACGGGCAGAATGCAAAAGGACCGCCGGTACTGGACTGTGGAGAAAGTTGGAAACAACACTGGAGTCTCTAAATGGTAAGTAGAGATTGGCCAAAAAAACAAGGTGGAGTAAATACAAAAATGTGAAAAATATTTATAGGAGTTTTACTTTTTTTTTTTTTTTTTAATTATGTTTATTAATAGTTTTAAAAAAAGCTACAAGACAGAAAAAAAAAAAAAAAGAGAAAAAAAAGGCAAAAAGGTGACATGCAAATGCTACCCACACAGGGGTGTGATTGAGATGAAATAGCAAGGGTACAGAATGTGTTTACAAATAGCACTGATATCAATAACTTGTAGCTTAACATACTAAGTGCAGTATACCAGTGAAAACGATTTGCTCTAGCCCCCTGAGGTGGCTGCAAAAGATGTTTCTTTGGCAGCCTGGTCAGTTAATGCATAAAACAATAAGCATCTCTATTGAAACAACGCAACAAGCAATCAGAGTGACGCTGTGGTTAGGTAAGCTATTTGGAACATACCTTGTCACATTTTGCTGGGCAGCCTCTGTTAATGTAGATATCTTTTTAGAATGGGAGGTTGTCGTTCACTAGTTTTTTTCCAAAAGAAGATGGATGGAGGGGCCTCTTTTTTCCAGTGGAGTGTAACAGACTTTCTGGCATAGAAGAGGAGAAGGTTGACCAATGTCCTCCCTGACACTGTAGGGAGCAAAAACTCTACCAGGCCCAATATGTAAACCTCTATAGCTAAGGTCACAGGTCACACAGTGCTAACAATGGATAGCGCATTGGTCCAGAAGACAGTAATGGCAGGGCAAGACCAGAAGATGTTGGTGAAATCTATTGGGGTTGACCACATCTCCATTATTCAGAGGGGAGAAAGTTATCCATTTTATGTAGCCGGGAGGGTGTAAAATAAGCACTAGGTACCATTTTAAATTGTATGAATTTGTCTCATACCGAGACTAGGGAACAGAAGGGGAAGTCCAAGATATCCTCCCAATCATCATCACCATCATCATCCAAGAGTGGAAAGTCTCTCAGCCACTAGGCTCTAAGATTATCTGACGGAGGTTGGGATGCTAAAAGTAGGTGTGTACAGATAGGAAGTGGGTTTTACATCACAATCTGTTCTAAGCACCCGCTCAAGGGCCAATTGTGTGATTATTAGAGAGGCTTGGGGAAATTGGCAGGAAAAAGGCATGGAAGAGTTGCAGATGTCAGAAATAATATCCAGGAGGAACACTGAATTCAGAAGAAAATGGGGTCAATGGTCTTAACGAATTGCCCTCCACCACTTGATGTAAATATTTTTTGTGTATGGCCCATGCTTCTGGTATCATGTAGAGGTGCAGTAGGGAAGTGTTCAACCAAAGGGGAACATTAGGTGAAGCTGCCGGTTTTGGAAATTGTTCAAACCAGAGGCCAACTCTCCAGACTCTGATAGTAGTAAGCACGGAGGTGTAAGCGAATACGGGACTTTAGGGCCACAGAATAGAAGAAGCTGTAGAGCCTCAAGAGGAGGATAGAATTGCTGCTTCCAGCAATTTTAGAGGTGTTGGTAAGGTTTGGAGAAAATCTCCAATCTGCAGTGACTAGCTGGGTGGCAAAAAATATTTATGGCTGTTAGGAAAGGCCAGACCCCCTCATGTGGTAGCGTGCATTAGGGTGGACAGAAGTAAGAGGATTCTATTCAGTTGGTCAAAAAAGGATTTTGAAATCCAAGATGGAGAATGGCAAAAAAAGAAATGTAAATTTCGGGAGAATGTTCATTTTGATTAGATTCATCCGACCCAAATAGCGACAGTGGCAATGACTCCCATGCCTTTAATCTCGGTTTTGTCTCTTGCACAGCTGGGGCGAAAATGAGTAAGAGGTAAGCTGAGGCCTGTCAGGAAACCTGTATCCCCAAATACTTGAATTATTCCATGAATTGGAGTGGTAGATTGGGAGGGGCCAAATTGCAGGCCTCGGGATCTATAGGAAATAAGGATTTTGTCCAATAATTTTGAGACCTGTGGCTGTGGAGTATGAGTTTAACAATTGTAAAGCACCCTGGATGGAGGGACCAGCACACTTTAGGAATAGAAGGAGATCTGCAAAAAAGGCTACCCTCTCCTCCAAACAGCCCACTCGAACGCACTTGATCTGTGGAGAGGTGCGAAGTGCCTCCGCCACTGCTACAGTCCCAATGGCAAAGAGGGCTGGGGACAGGGAGCAGCCCTGGCGGGTACCCCTGTGCAGGTGGGACTGGGACCAAAAAATTTCTCCACATCTTAACCGAGGCAGTAGGACAACTATAGAGGGTTTGCAGCCATTTGATGAAGATCAGGGTGAAACCCATATGTCTCAGTACCTCCCACAGGAAAGGCCACTCAATGGTAATGAAGGCCTTCTCAATGTCAAGGGAAGCCACCACCCTTGATCCCATGTTTATATGTTGAGAATGAATATTGGTTCACAACTGTACCTTTATAGGCCATAAAACATGTTTGGTCAGGGTCTATTACCATTGGCAGGAGTTTTTGTAGCCAAAGGGTAAGGAGTTTGGTTAAGATTTTAAAATCATTGTGAAGTAGAGCAATAGGCCTATAGACAGCACAGGCACTGGAGTCTTTGGATGGTTTGTAGATGAAAACTATGTGGGCATGACTCTAGATGTGGGAGGGTTCCCTGGGACAGGCAGTGCATGAAGAGAGAGGAAAGGATGGGGGCCAGAATTTCATGGTGAGCCTTATAGAAATCAATGGGAAGCCCATTTGGGCCTGGAGCCCTTCCTGCGGGAACTGACTGAATAGCTGACACTATCTCATCTGGAATGATGGGGCGTACTAAAGTTTGTTTGAAAGCCATCCAAGGACCACCTGATCTAAAAGTAGAGCCAGTGAGCGAGCGAGAATCCAAATTTTGTGGGAGAGTGGAAGTGTATAAGTCGCTGTAATATTGGTAGAAAGGTTCAAAGATATCCTCAGGGGTGGAGGCCTTGTGCCCATTGGTGAGGTGAATTTCGGAGATTGAAGTTAGAGGCTGATCATGATGAGCCAGGAGAGCCAACAGGCAGCTATTTTTGTCTCCTTGCTCAAAAAAATAATTGTTTAGTGTGGTATTGTGCAAGACTTATTAGCTCAGCTAGATGTAGGTTGAGCTCTCTGTAATTAAATAGAAATTTCCCCGTCTGGATTGACTTCATAGTCCTGTTTTATCCACCACTGACAGCTGGAGAGACTGAATGTCTGTTCGGAGGTTCCTTTATCCTGTAGCAATGGATGAAATGTACTGTCCTCTGGTGTATGCTATGAAAGCATCCCATGTGAGTTCTGGAGAGACCCCTCATTATGATCCCAGTATTCAACTAGTTTGGGAGGCAAACTGTCTATGATCTCTGGATGAGAAATCCTGTGTGGAGCAAGGCACCACAAGGACACACTGCGGGTGGCCATAGTGCGCAGGAACAATTTTAGTAGAACATGGTCTGAGAATAAGTAGTTATGTAGCATCCTGCACATCAGCCAGGAGGGAGGGACTGGCAAATATCAGGTCTATGCAGAAGGAGGTTTTATGAGTAGCGGACAGGGAGGAGTAGGAATGGGTTTTTAGGGTATTTCCACCTCCAAATCTCTGCAAGTCCTGCCGCCCGACTCCAGGCTTGTAGATCTCCGGGACAGGTGTTGGTCTATCAAGGTGCGGAGATAAAATGGCATTGAAATCACCCATGACCAGTAGCTTAGCTGGGGCATAAGGGGTGATCTTCTTCACCATTATATAACATATAGACCCCAAAGTATAAAGACAATAACATTTACCCTGTGGATCAGTATGTATCGCCTCAACAACACATAGCAGTGATTTGTGAACCAGGACAGAGAGCCCTTTTGCAAATGGTATGCTTTTTGAAGCCAAGGTCATTTGAGAACCATGATTTTGCTGCACATGAGATGTGTTTGCTGTAATAAAAGTATGCGGGGCTTGTAAGATTTCAAGCACTAGAAGAGTAAGGCCCACTTAAATTTAGAATCAAGACTGCTGACATTCCAGGAAATTATTTTACACAATTCCTGAGATTGTGGCGCAATGGAAAAGGTGTGAAAGAATTAAGGAGGGATAATATTGTAACAGTAAGAGAAGACATCGCAGGGGCAGAAAATCACGAGGTAACCAACACTACATATAAATCATCAGAAGCAACAAAACAGAAAAACAATTCCTGTGCACTGTAGTGCACACCCTGCCATGGTTGGGTCCCTCCCAAAAAAAAGAACAAAAGCTAGAAGGAAGACCAGCGAAGGTGGAATTATCCACTGATATTGTAGGAGACTGCAATGTGGCAAGAATAAGACTATTCCGGAGCCCCTGAGCATAGGCTCAATATTAACTGGTAAAGTGTGAACAGATAATCAAGTTAAAAAAAAAAAAAAAATGTAGGCACAGTGGCAAAGATGAGATGACAAAAGCTGGTATACCTGTGGACAATTGGTGATGAGAGAGTAGAAGGCCAAGCAGTGGTCAGTAGTTAGCGGGAGTCCAGTCTACTTTAAACCTTCTACTGATCACCTGGGAGAAGGAATTATTCTATACTTTGATAACTTAATAGTGTATTAGGTTTCCTTCAGCATTTCTGAAAGCTCAGAAAGTCGAACAGAAAACAAAGTCACCAGTTGATGGTTAGCCAACACACTATGTAATAATAAGTAGGCAGTACTAAAGTAAAAATAGAAAAAACAACATTAGCAGGTGGAGCTTTATGGCAGAAGAGAATGCATGTCTCTTTCCCTATCTGCTAACAATTTATTTTTAATTTAACACCAACTGCCACACATGCACAATGTAGTGTACAATACCAACATTTGTAAAACATGGGTGCTAGGAATACATAACTCATTTGTCTGCGTCAGGGTTAGATTATCTGTAGGCTAAGGCTGATGGTAAAAGATTGACTTGGAAATGAGGAAAAGATTGCAGTGGTAATGATGGAAAGACAAGGGAAAGCACAGATCGACAGTTCACTTTTGGTACCCTGTAGGCATTAGAGAATATAAAGGCCAGCTGCAAATTCAGAATAGCATGCATGTTATTTACTGACCACTTTCATGCTAGAACATCTATATTATTGGTTCATGCACACAGAGCTTATAGGCAATTTCTTTGCCCAGCATCAACGTTGTGGCACCTTCCTGCGTACTGCCTACCATATAAATGAACAGTTGCACTCTTGTAAACACCAATGCTGCTTTGTATTGGTGGTTACCCAAGCATGGACATTGGATGTGTTTGCTTTTGTGAAAATATGCTGGAAGCACATGTGCAAGAATGCAGCCAAGTACAGCCATTAATGGCTGTACGTGTGAAGTGCAGCTCCCCAGGGGTGGGAAAGCACTAGAAAATTAGCAAAATGCCTATATAAGCTCTCCATGTGTATGAACCCTAAATGACAATGTGACTGAAAAAGTATCCATAAAGTTCCTAGGCATTTATTTGTAGAATGTAGGTTTCTTCACTTACAAATGTAAGCTATTGATACATTTATGCTGATTGTGGGCCCCCTAAACCACAATGAGGTTTGATCAGTTTAATTCACTTAAAGCGGAGTTCCACTCACTCTGTAAAAAAATAAAAGTCAGCAGCTACAAAAACTGTAGCTGCTGACTTTTAAAAAACAGACAGACACTCACCTGTCCCTCGATCCCGCGTTGCCCCCCGCCGCACCCATTTCACCGGCTGTCCTGTATTCCAGGAGACTGGCATCTTCAGTGTGGGCACCCGGCTGTGACAGCTTGCAGCTTCACAGCCGGGTGCTCACTGCGCATGCGCGAGTAGTGCTGCACTTCCTGAACGGCCCCGTCATCTTCTGGGACCTGTCACGTGTCCCACAAGACTTCAGGGAGGGAGGGTAGGAGGACAACTTCCGTTTCCGATCGCCTAGGCGATCGCAGCGGAAGTGGGATCCTGTCAAATTCAGGTACCCATTCCCCCAAACTCCAAAGGTGCCAATCCTTAATGGGGAGCAGGGGACCAATCTTTAAAGCGGAACTTCCCCTTTTGGGTGAAACTCCACTTTAAGCCTTTTTTTTTTTAGTTTTGGATAGAGTGATGAAAACCCCCATCGGGTTTTTTATTTTCCTTTTTTTTTTTTTCGCTGTCTCACTGCTGGGGAAATTCAGTATCTCTATTTGTCCTGTTGACTATTGTCTTTAAAATTTTAGAGTTGTCACAGGAACAGGATGTGAGGGAAAATCTTGTAATTTGGAAAATATCCATTCCTGTGACAACAGTCTAAGAGGGCATATTACCTCGATTTGGAAAGATTTGCCAAATGTTTTTGGAACAGGAAATAAAGGAAAATCTTCTTGCTAGACATACATAGCAAAATCAATAAATTAAAAAAAGGGAGTGAGCAATGGGTGAGCTTGCATGGGACATTTTGACAATTATGTAACCTTAGCTCTGCTTAGATTATGTTTATCACTTATACAGGCATAGTGATAATCAGAACAGATCCTTGGTGCACTGGGCATAGTTTTCATCATATTCTCAGACTGAGCTAGTGAAAGGCTTACTTAAGTGTGATTCAGATTTTCAGGGGTTGATTTACTAAAAAGGCAAATAGATTTCACTTTGCAAAGGTATTTTGCAAAGGAATTTTCCCCAGACCCTAGCCAATGTGGTAAAGTTTCACTTTGCAAAAGGATACCCAATAACATACAAGAAAAAACAAAAACAGTATTTTGGACACCTGCCCATCACATCTACCATATGGTAAAATGTACTTGGACATTTCTCTGAATTATTGAGTTTGGGTTTTAACAATGAAGGGTACTGCTAATGCTAATGTTCTGTTCCAGCATGACTGTGCCTTGGTTTTAGTGTGATGGTCAGGTGTCCACAAACATTTTGATATAAGTATACATAGATTGTGTGCAAGTCTCCATCAAACATTACAAACCTTTATAGCAGCTTCTCTTAAAGCTTCCAGCCTCTGTCTGCTGCTTTCTTTCATGTTCACTACATCTTTGTAATCTCCTTGCAAAGCCCTGCGTAGCCCATTAACTGCTTGAAACACAGAGTTCTCACTCTCATTTAGCTCCTTCTGGAATATTTCAAATGTGTGCACTTGAAAGAGCTTCTCTTCAGGAGACAATCCAGGGTCTTTTTCCACAGCTTTGATAGCATTTTTCAGTTTATTAAGCACCACGTGCTTCTGGTGTAGTAGCCCAGACAGTTTTCGGCAGTTATTGAGTAGCCACTCTTTTTTTTGGCTGGCTGTTGCTCCCTTGCCTCGATGTAGCTTGATGGCATGTTTAGCTACCCCTTCATGCTCTGCTGCATGCATCAGGTGGTAACACAGCTGCAGAGGTAAAACCCACACAACGTAAATCTTCATGGCTTCTTTCTGCTACTGGCAATGACACTGAAAATCAGACTCTCCTGACGGCCTTATTATTTTGCACATGGCTTACATTCCTAGAAAAGAAGATTGGTGAAATTGTATTTACTTTAATGTTACTGTATAGTAAAATAAAGTAGATGATGAGAAAATGATGCCAATTATGATCCCATAATTCAACATTCTTTCCCCCATGGTTGCCTTATATACTTTTTTTTGGCTTTCATTTTGGGTCATATTTTTAGTGTCTTCCATATTTATTTGCCCACTCAACCCCATAGCAAACTGTTACTGAACATATTAATTGTACAACTGTAATTTTCATGTCCAGGTTCAACCGTTTATTTACTATGCAACACAGGCAACTTCTGTTAAATATATTTTAAAAAAATGAATAGCACTATGAAAAAGACATACGCACCTCCAAAGCTCTGCTCAAGACTCATCCCTCCTGTACATGTACAATTTGGGCGCTTACCATTGTAGTCAGTCTCTACTTCCTATGAGAAAAAATGTATTGGCCACACGCCACTCTTCGCTCTACTAAGTAATTATTAAACCACGAACAGAAGGACACCGCTCCAGGTGTATGCAGCACTTAACACACCAACTACATAGGTGCTCAGCCTGCCTCACCTTCAGAAGACAGCACAAATCAAGGAAATGGGCACACACTCCACTGGGTCTTGATGATTTATTGAAAATTGTCATAAAAATATCAAAGGTACTTTAGCACACAAGTAAAAGCTGTAAACAGGAAAGAGGTTTCCTGTTTACATCTTTTACTTGTGTGCTAACGTACCTTCTGATATTTTTATGATAATTTTTCAATACATCACCAAGACCCAGTGGAGTGTGTGCCCATTTCCTTGATTTTTACATAATTATTAGTTGTCAACTAATGACTGAATACAACAATGCCTCCACCTGGGGACCAGCAATTATTTTCAGCAAGCCAGGAGTGGTGAAACACGTCAATAAAAGGTTGTTTCCCTGGTAAAGACATTGTTGCAGTCACTTTGTTGACAAATAATAAATACGGCAGGAGGAGCTAAGAGTGGCTGATACATTTTTTCATATTCCTGAGGAGCACTATGGTTGAATATAATGAAGGACATCAAATCAAAGTAGAAACAATTTAGATACAACTGTTGGCAACTGTGCAAATGATCATAAGAGAGAAATTCAAGCATAGGTTTAATAAAAAAAGTTTTAATATTTAAAAAAACGTATTATTATAATTATGCAGGCTTAAACTGGTATTAAACCCAAAACCAAACAAACATTCTATATATTGCAGCTTACCAATAAATAGATGTGGTGGCTGCATTGCTTTTTATTTATTTATTTTTTTAAAGAAGGTTTCCCCTGGTGATCTAACCAGTAACACCTCTCCTGTATTAGAGTGCCCCCACTTTGGATGAAGGAGCATAGGGGCACTTCTGGACAGCAGCATTGTTAATCTGGGTGTAGATTTAGACAGACTAACAAATTGATGCTGAACTCCAGCTCATACTTTATACATTGTATGCACAATTATTAGGTAACGTGTATTTTTGAGGATTAATTACATTATTGAACAACTACAGTGCTCTCGGTCAATCCAAAAATGTTAATAAACCTCAAACCTGAATATTAAAGTAAAAGTGAGGTTTTGACTTTCAGAATATCTATGTGTGCACAATTATTGGACAACTATTAGTGTGCAGAATTATTATGCAACTAAACGAAAAACAAAAATTTTCCCATCTCACGTTTATTTTCTTCTGTTAAAGTGACAATAATAAAACAACTCAAAATTTACAAATAAACGTTTCAGGCATTGAAAGAAAAAAAAAAAAAAAAAAAAAAAATCAGTGACCAATATAGCCACTCTTCTTTTCAATAACATAGTCATATGCCTTCCATTCATGGAGTCTGTCAGATTCCTGATCTGTTGAAGATCAACTTTTTGTGCAGAGGCAACCACAGCCTCCCAGACACTGTTCAGAGAAGTGTACTGTTTTCCTTCACCATAAATCTCCCATTTAAGAAGGGCCCACAAGTTTTTAACAGGATTTAGGTCAGGTGAGGAATAGGGCCATGTCAATATTCTTTCATCTTTAAGGCCTTTACTGGCTAGCCACCTAGTGGAGTACTTCGATACATGCCATGGAGCATTGTCCTGCATAAATATAGTCTTCGCAAAAGATGCAGGCTTTTTCCTGTACCACTGGCAGTAGGTTTAGGAATTGATTTTGAGTCCATCTTCAACCCAAAAAAGGTCCAACTAGCTCATCTTTCTTTATACCAGACCATATCAGTACCCCAGCTCTGTGCCTGTTAGTGATCCAGCCACGAGCCTATCTATCTGGTCCATCAAGAGACACTTACATCTCATCAGTCCATAAAACCTTTGAAAAATCTATCTTCAGATATTTCTTGGCCAAGTCTTGACATTTCAACTTATGTGTCTTGTTCAGTGGTGGTCGGGTTTCAGCTCCCTTACCTTGGCCAGGTCTCTTAACACTGAACACTTTGTACTTCTGGGCACTCCATGTAGGTTGCAGTTCTAGAATATGACAGCATCGGAGGAAAATGGGTTTGTGGTGGCTTAACTTTCATTCTTCTCAAATCTTTGGCAGTTAATTTGCACCTTTGTTTCTCAACACATTTTTTTTTACCCTGTGCAATAAAACCTTTTATGGTTCTGTTATCACACCCCAATATCTTAGCAATTTCAAGAGTGCTGCATCCCTCTGAATGACTTTTTAGAGTCAGTTAAATCTCTTTTTTGGCCCATTTTACCTGAGGGAAAAGAAGCTGCCTAATAATTATGCACACTTTGATATAAGGTGTTGATCTCCTTATGCCACACTCTCCCTCATTACACAAATACACATCACTTGATATGCTTAAATCCAATAAGCACTCAAGTTTATACAGCTTGGAGTTGGACAATATGCATAAAAATGATGATTTAGTCAAAATACTCACTTTCCTAACAAGAGTGCACACAGTGTAGGCAGTACACCGCAAACAGCTTTTTTCCTTTTGGGATAAAAAAAAAGCTGATCATTTTTTTTGCACTCCTGTCAGTGGTAAATGGTTTTTCTCATCCCTGCTTACTGGCCAGAGCACCGGGTGAAAATAAAGCTAAGGAAGACAAAAAAAAAAAAATTACTGCAGCCACCACATCTAAGAATTGGTAAGCTGCAATATTAAAAATGTTTGCTTTTGGGTTTAACCACTTCAGTGGTGCCTCATCAGTCCCCATCAGTGCTGCCTCATCAGCGCCCATCAGTGGTGCCTCATCAGCGCCCATCAGTGGTGCCTCATCAGCGCCCATCAGTGGTGCCTCATCAGCCCCATCATGGTGCATCAGCGCCCATCAGTGAAAAAGAAAAATTACTTATTTGCAACATTTTATAACTTTTGGTCTTTTTGGTCCAAACTTTGGTCTTTTTTCATTTGTTTAGCAAAAAATAAAAAATCCCAATGGTAATTAAATACCACCAAAAGAAAGCTCAGTCTAAAAAAAAAAAGATAGATAAAAATTTCATATGGGTATAATGTGTCATGACTACGCAACTGTCATTCAAAGTGCGACAATGCTGAAAATTGGCCTGGGCAGTGACCAGTACTGAAATGGTTAATACTGCTTTAACTATAAAAGGTTTACACGCACATCCCTAAAAAGCTTTATATAGTTTCTCTATGGAAGACTCAGAGCTAAGAGATTAGGGGGTATCCTGTACCCCTAACTTTTTCTCCTCCAGTTTACTGAGCGAACACAGTATTGAAAAGACTACAACGACTGGAGGTCAACTGCTTGTTTTTTTGAATCCCACAAGAACAGCCAAGGAGTTATAAAAATTAAAGTGGATCTGTACTCAATTTTCTGATTTGGATTCGCAGTTACCAAAGTTTGTTACCTGATGCTGGCTTGTCTGCCTACTGCTATTCAATTAAGACTGCCTGTGAAGGAACTCTTACGTGATGTTGAATCTTCATCAAGAGATGACTAAAGATGACTTACTTTTAAGCGCTTGAAAACAAGGAAAGGATAATTGCCAAAGCCCACAAAGAAAAATATACTTTTGTGTAATTCAGCAAATGCATCCCTCTGCTCTGCGTCCCACAATTCTGCTTTCTTCTTAACATTTGCTTGCCAAGTCCTATTACCGCAACATGGGAATAAGGGCATCTTCTTCGTCTTGAGCAAGTTTTGACTTGTTTGTGTAAAATCAAGATTTGCACAATTTTGGGGGCACTAGCAGAGGATTTGCAGGCTGGGGTGAGCTGGAACAATAAGAACAGGCACCGTCTTGTTCCTGCTGCACAGCCTTAAAGCGGTATTAAACCACACTAAAAAAAAAAAAAGCACATTATGAAGGACTTACCTTAAAATGAAGACTTCCAGCGGCACGCTGTCACCGCGGCAGAGGCTTTCATCTTCACCCGGTCTTCCTTACGTGTTTGTGAGCTCCGGCCGTCTGACTGACTGAGCCACGATGTGGCGGTCCCGGTCCTGGGCTACAGCCACTGCACAGTACTTTGAAGGAACAGCACAAGTATGCCATTCCTTCTGAGCACATGCGCCTGCTCTCAAAAAGAGCAATATCTGCTAAACGGTGCATGTTTAGGAGATATTCATTTTACCTACAGGTAAGCTTTATTATAAACCAAGGGTGGACTGACAACTCATGGGGCCCCCGGGTGATAGGAAATCATGGGGCCCCTGTGTCTTCACCCACATTCAAACCACACCCAAAAAAAGCCTATGAAAGGTGCCAAGGGCATCTCATGGGGCCCCCTACTGACCCTGGGCCCTCGGGCAGTGCCCTAATGCCTAAATGGTCAGTCCGCCCCTGTTATAAACTTACCTGTAGGTAAAATTATACAAAAAGAGTTTACTACCACTTTAAATTAGAATTCTGGGTTAATCTTAAAATTGTCCCTTGCCCCATCCTAACACCTATACTAACTAACCTGTGGATGAAATATACATAAGCTTA